AAGGAAAGCTCAGCCCTCGATTTATCGGCCCCTATGAAATCATAGAAAAAGTCGGGAACCTAGCCTATCGCCTCGCTCTACCCGTTGAACTAGAACGAGTACACAACGTATTCCACATATCCCAGCTAAAGAAATACGTACACGACCCAAGCCACGTGCTTCAACCCGAGGTCGTGAACCTCGACGAGTCATTAGCATACGAAGAAAGACCCGTGAGGATCCTAGACACCAAGACAAGAAACACCCGTCGCCGAGCCATAGAAATGGTGAAAGTCCTCTGGACCAACCATGGGACCGAGGAAGCAACGTGGGAGCTCAAAGACACAATGAGGGAACGCTACCCCGAACTTTTCTCACCAGGTAACTAAGAGAAGGTCACTCGGCAAGGACCAAGCTTCGGGACGAAGCTTTCCGTTAAGGGGGGAGAGTGTAACACCCCGTGTTACGACCCCTAAAACCAATTAATCCTTTAATCAATTACCCAAAAGAAAGAATTAAATTACAGAAATTAATTAGGAAAAAGCCCACCATAGTCCGTGGGCCGCCATCTCTAAACCCAAACCCCTAGTCCTAAAAGGATTAGATCCTAAAATAAGACCCTTAGATATATAAATAGGGAACCTAGAGGGCACCTAGAACCCCCCACGAGAATAACGCCCCACCACCCCGAAAGAGCTCCAAGAATCCCCTTAGAAGAAATCAAGAAAGCAAGAGAGCTTAAAGAAAGACCCTTCATAGCCAAGGAATTAATTAAGGCTAAGAGGTAACCCATGTCTCAACAAAACCTATTTTCATAGCTATGATTTCCCCCGTAGGATTTCCCCATATTATTGTGTATTGATGATTTGTGATATTATTATTGATGATTGATGGGATAATTCCATGGGTGATCTTGATATTGGGAGATTCTTGATAATTATGGTGTTCTTGATGATTATGTGGAGTTCTTGATGTTTATATGTCGTTCTTGATAATTGTATGGCATTCTTGATGCTTATGTGATATTCTTACCGAATCTTGTAATTAGAAGACGAATCGTATTCTTGTTGGTATAAAAGTGATTAGAACCCTAGGTTGTATCGTATGATATTATTCTTGGTGTATCGGGTTGGAAATCGCATGTTTGGGTGTCGATTATGTTTAGAAAAGCATGATAGGTTATGTGCCGTACGTTTCTCGTATTTGATCCATTAATTGTCTACGTGTTGATCGTTAATTGCGTTGTAAAGTGTCTAAGCATGGTTTCGGGTTCCACAATGGTTCCCGGGGCGTTTTGTGTATAAAGAGTCAGTGGGGGGTAGGTGGGGGGATAGGGGACCCGCCACCTACCCGCGGCCAGAAGGGACGTCTCCGGCAGCGGGCAACCGGCGGGCGGGCAGCTGCCCGCCGGCGACCCGCTGGCCGGAACAGTGCTTACCGGCGGGTGGCCCCCACCCACCGGCTACCCGCTGGAAATCTCCCCCATTCGGGACCCCGGCTTCCACGTTTGATGTTTCCTCGATCCCCGTGGTGTCCCAACGGACTCCGTTCATCGTGCCGTGTCTAGTTTGATGTTTCGGGTACCGTTCGTAGGTTTATGAGTCTTATATATTGCATGCTAGTTGAATTGGTATCCCGTTGACCTAGGTGGAAGAAGTATGAACCCCTTAGGACCATTCTTAGTATGTGAAGGATCACGCATAGGTTTTGTTATACGCTTTCTCCCCTTCCCAATGTGTTAATGTGGGTTGCATGTGCTTGCTATGTGTTATGTGTGCATGACACCCCAATTCGGTTGCGATCGGATTGGTTATTCCTGAGCTGCTGTTCAGAAGCTGGCTGCGGTCAGATTTACACTCTTGGGCTGCGGTCCACCGTTTGGTTGCGATCAAACGTTTCTACATGAGCTGCGGTTCATATTTCCTGGCTGCGGTCAGATGACATTCTCTTGGGCTGCGGTCCACTGTTTGGTTGCGATCAAACATTATGATGAGCTGCGGTTCATCGGTCGGTTGCGATCGACCCCTCCGTGCTGCGATACGGGGCAGGGTGCTGCGGGGCCGTGTCAGAGCTATATGCGCTGACCCTCATGTATGGGCATGCGATTGGTCCTGTGGCGCCAACAAAGTGTGCTATGTGATGAGATATGGATGAGTTGTGATTATGAGTATCTTGGGAGATGTGACTATGGGATTTATGCTGGGGATTGTTTATGTTGGGTTATGATTATTAATTGTGCTCAGCTTTATCTGTCTTGCCTGTTGTGGATTGTATACGCTTGTTATAACTGTTGCTTGTGTCTAGCCTTATCTATCGAGTCATTCCCGGTTTTAAAAGCTAGAGTTCGTAGGATATATCTTCATGCTCAAAATGGTTTTCGTATATCTATATATATCTCTATATGTATTGAATTTCAACGCGTTGGAGTGGGTTACCAGCATCTCTCGCTGAACAGATATATTTGGCTTTCAGGCACAGAAGAATAAGTCACTGGAGCGCGCTAGAAATTGGAGCGTAGAAGTAGATAGTTTCCCTTTCGGCCTGCGTGTCATGCTTATGCATTTACCTTATCAAGGATATTAGTTAGTTAGCCTATGCACCTGAGTTCTCTAGCTCAGGTGTGGCATAGCACCCCGTACTCTTGTATTACGTTTTGGGATTTAATGAGATTTCGCCTTTATTTTATAAGTTTTAAATATCTTGAAATTTCGGGGTGTTACAATTTTAATGAAACATTTTCACCTGTTTCGAAGAAATATTCATTTAGAATAATTATGGCATTAGTAGCTCATTATGACTTAGAGCTACAACAGGTGGATGTGAAAACCGCCTTTCTGAATGGAAATTTGGAAGAAGAAATTTACATGAACCAACCTGAGGGTTTTTCAATTGAAGGAAAGGAACACATGGTGTGTAAGCTTAACAGATCGATATATGGACTTAGACAAGCTTCCCGACAATGGTATCTTAAGTTTAATGATACTGTAACGACGTTTAGATTTAAGGAAAACACCGTTGATCAGTGTGTATATCTGAAGGTCAGTGGGAGCATGTTTATATTTTTGATTCTGTATGTCGATGACATTTTACTTGCTACTAATGATCTTGGTTTAATACATGAGACCAAGCAATTTCTTTCTAAGAACTTTGAAATGAAAGATATGGGTGAGGCATCCTTTGTGATTGGAATTGAAATATTTCGTAATAGATCACAAGGAGTGTTAGGATTGTCTCAGAGAACATATATTAACAAAGTCTTAGAAAGATTTAGAATGGAAAAATGCTCTGCATCAGTTGCTCCAATTCAGAAGGGAGATAAGTTCAGCCTTATGCAATGCCCTAAGAATGAATTGGAGCGTAAAGAATTGGAAAATATTCCTTATGCATTTGTCGTTGGGAGTTTGATGTATGCTCAAACATGTACCCAACCAGACATTAGCTTTGCTGTTGGGATGCTTGGTCGTTATCAAAGTAATCCTGGTATGGATCACTGGAAGGCTGTAAAGAAGGTATTAAGGTACTTGCAAGGTACAAAGGAGCACATGCTCACTTATAAGCGATCTGATCACCTTGAGGTGATAGGATACACAGATTCAGATTTTGCCGGGTGTTTGGACACAAGGAAGTCCACATTTGGTTATCTATTCCTTTTAGCCGAGGGGGCTATTTCTTGGAAAAGTGCTAAGCAGACTGTCATTGCTGCATCCACTATGGAAGCTGAGTTTGTGGCATGTTCTATGGCCAGAAATCATGGATTATGGCTGCGAAATTTTATTTCGGGACTTGGAATTGTCGACAGTATTGCCAAGCCGCTGAAAATTTATTGTGATAATGCCGCAACAGTCTTCTTTTCTAAAAACGAAAAGTATACTAGTGGTGGTAAACATATTGATCTGAAGTATCTTGCCGTTAAAGAAGATGTTCGGGAACGAAGGGTATCAATTGAACACGTAAGCACTAGATTAATGATTGCAGACCCATTAACTAAAGCATTGCCACCGAAGGCATTTCGTGAGCATGTTGAAAGAATGGGCATTATTGAAAACTGTTAACATTATGTTAAGGTTGTGTTTTGAAATATTTGATACCTAGAGCTCAATATAGTTTCGTTTTTGTATTAAAGTATCCTGTTTAGTTTATGAAGTATATATACATGAATGTTTTATGTTAATATAAACAGAATTTGTCTTTGACAAAGACATTATCGTGGACCATTATGAAAAAGTTCATTATGAATCATATTGAGTTTGAAATTAATATTGTGATACATGGAAGGGACTGCGTTAAATTAGTGACGTATTACCGCCATGATTCTTATTAATTTCTAATTTAACGATGACTTATGTTCTGACCAATATAACAAAGGAATTAACTTATACTATGCATATTATGTTTCAAGTTCATTATTAAACTTATGACTTATGAGCCAAGTGGGAGAATGTTAGAATAATTATTATTATTATTATTCTATGGTTCATTATGTTTTATTGTGGCTCATAATTAAATATCTATTTATAATTTAATAATGAGATAATCCCGTGATTGGTTAGTTAAGAAGATAAGATTGCAGTTTCAACTGCATATCATCAGGTTTACGTTGATGGAACGTATTATTATTTATATTTCATTCTGAGACTCTGGTCCTCTCCCAACCTCTCTAAAAACTAAAACTCTCTCCATCAGAGAATTAGATTAAGTGAATGTTAAAGGTCTGGAGGGAGAAACCAAGTTTCTAACTCAAGCAACTACGGAAAAACAATGGAGCCAAGTATGTTCCCAAAATGCTATTTAAATACAGTATGTGAAAGGCATGTGTTCTGAAGATCTTATGTTTTAGGATTAACTTACATGCAATTCCTAGGGAAAATGTTTATTTGAGAAGCTAAGTGACAAAATGATATAGGGAATTAAAAGATCGATGCATGCACTACAATACAATACAATAAAAGTACTTGAATATGAACAAATTAAAAATAATAATGTATCTTATTTGTCCAACCTAACCAATTCAATATATATAATTAAACTTGACACACCACCACTGAATCTGAACTTGAATTCTTCTTCTTCTTCTTGGAGTTTGTGTTGAATGCTGTTGTTGGCAACCATTTTATCACCGCCTGTGTCACCTTAACTACATACCCAACACCAATAATGAAGGCAAGTGCTGCAAACAAACAGCCCCAGATGAAGGCAATGTCGTAACCTGTAGGCGTGGGAGTAATCATTTGCAGGCACAGAACAAAGCTTGCTCCCGCTGCAGTGATTGCCACCCACATTGTGATCATCATTGTGTACATAAACCATTTACTCTGAATGGGCAATCCACTTATGAGTAAGAGTATGACACTGAGAGATGTGAGAAAGCTCAACATGTTGGCCACTACGAAGGCGTTATTGTCATCTGGTTTGTAATAAAACATCAGACCACTTCCTGCTGCTGCTGTTATTTCACTTCTACTGCCATAGTGTGTCAACGTGCAATCATTCCCATGGTATAAGAAAGTATAAAATGCACACTTATCGACATACTCGACGGGTTTAGATTCCTGCACTACACCGCCAGGGGGGTTAACCATGGCCTGAAACGCCATTGTTGCCAGCAATGAAGCTGCCACCATTAACCCCTCACGCATTTCTTTAACCCAATTCTCTGCACCATTTTTATGCTTTTTTCTTCTTCTATTTTTCATGTTTTTCTCAGATGATGAGTGGCTCTGGAGGCTTTGCATGTCACTGTCGTCCTCATTCTCTGCTTGTTTAACTTCCTTGTCCCCCAGAAGTAGTTCTCCAATTTCCATCTCTTTCCCATTATTATTATTTCTAGTTTGAAAGAGAGTGTCCATGCTGTTAATCCACTCCCATTTTCAGCATTCACTTGGATTCTAGTACGTTGGACCAAAAACTTCACTGCCTACAGCAATATATAATAATTTTCATTTCAGTGCCAAAAGCTGACACCATGAAACTAGGGGCAATTTATACCTTGTGCCCCTGGTGCAAAATGACTTTGTTTTGCATCTTTTTTGAAAATTTCGATTTTTCCTGTTTGCTGTTAATTTGTTAAAAAAAAAAATCATGTTTTGAAAATGTACATAATTATATTTTAAAATGTACATAATTGTATATGAGAATGTACATAAACTTTTAACCGTTAAAGAAAATCGCATGTACGAATGTATATAATTGTATAAAAAAATATTCATAATTGTATACCAGAATGTACATAATTATATAACATAATGTACATAATGATATAACATAATACGCATACTATGTTGTGTCGATTCCCCACAACTTAACATAACGACATCGTTTTGGAGGCGTGGGCCGCACAGTCCTATGTGCACCGTGGTGCAGGGTATAATGATTGGAAACTAGGATCAAATGCTGACCATGCAAAAGTTATTGCTAGTTTTTTAGAGACAGGGTGATGGACTTTTTCATTCAGATCTTTGCCCAATAATTTCTCTCCAACCTGTTAGTCTTAATTACACAGGACTTTACTCTAATGGGTTGTTTTGTAGACATGAATTGCATTGCAGTTCTACCATAATTCTTTGGTCACTTTAATTACAATGTTTGGTTGGAGGAAATTCCTAGCGTAATTCTTTCATTTTGTTGAATTGTCCCATGAATTGCAATTCTAGGAAAAGAAAAAATAGATGAAATGACACTAGTACACTCTGTTATTATTACTATTATTATTACACAAAGCTATTTTAGTATTTATACAACTTCTTTCTTTTTAAATTCCAATAATTCGATTCCTCCCTACCAAACAACGTAATTTCAATTCATACTTTATTCCCATCTTCTTCATTTTCCTAACAAATTACAATTTCATTCTCCTATAATTCTTTTCTTTTAACCAAACGCCCTGTAATATCAATTATTAGCATACCATTACCCCAAAAGGTATAACTAGTAGGCAAGACTTAAGTTTATTGCATTATACTGCAACACATTTTTGAGAGGCATGATGTTAGACTTAATTACTCCGATTTAACACTCAAAACCTCCACTCAACAATCCCTTAGCCATCAAGTATATATATTGGACTTGATCTTTTACCGATCTCCGCCAACCAGAAACTAAGATACATATATAACCAAGTATACCAATCATTTTTTCTAGAAATTTACCTCAAATTGTTTATACTTCACAGCCAGATGCAAAACTGTGTTACCAAAAGCATCCTTAGAATTCAAAAAATCTCCGACGTGATCTCCCTCTCCCATCATCTCTACAAGAAGCTTCAGAGCCTGCAACTGCGCACACTGCTAGAAATCATCAGATTTTCGACCACCCAAAAATGGTCGGAAATGGCCTTAATCGGGTCGGTAACATCGTTTCCGACCACTTTTCCGACCATTTGGGGGATTCGGAAAATACCCAGTCGGTAATTCCGACCACTGTCTTGTGTGGTCGGAAGTAGAGACCACCTTGTATAGAACTGTCGGAAACAAACGACGGTCTAGCAAATGGGACGGATCCTAATTTCCGACCACACATGTGGTCGGAAAATAGGATCCTAGAATATTCTTGGAGTTTCCGACCAATATGTGGTCGGAAAATCAAGATCGAATAATGTTCTTGGTTCCAGATTTTCCGATCACCCGGTGGTCGGAAATTAACAAGTAAATATTAAAAAAAAAAAAAAGGTACAATTTTTTTTTTGCTAATTTTACTACAAATTATCCACTGCTTTCACAATTTTAAAACTAGTAATTTCATAACACTACAAATATTATACATTCCAATAGCAAGTTTAATTACATACATAATGTTTCAATTGTAACACCTACTCCAAAAAAAAAAACTAGTTTTCCAATTCTAAAATGCTACTTCACAAATCAAAATAGTTTGTACATCACAAGTAGCATCACAAGAAAGTTAGAATCTTGACCTACTAAAATGCTACTACACAAATCAAAATAGTTTGTACATCACAAGTAGCATCACAAAAAAGTTAGAATCTTGACCTATTGCTCTTGCATTGGAGATTGTGTTCCATTATTCAATCCAAGATCCTCTAGCCTAACACCATTACTTTCAGGGCTGACTGGATTCGTAGATTGAAAAGATGACTGATTTGAACCACAAAATGCAGCAATTTGAGCTTCCAAACATGCAAATCTGTCCTTTAACTACTTGTTCTCTTCTTGTAGGTGCTTAATTCTTTCATCACAAGTTGTGTGTGAGGAAGATTGCCCGGATTTTAAATTCTTTTACCTCACAACCTCAGGAAAGTAGTGTAGGCTATCTGATCCGAATCCAAAAACGTTCCCTCTTTTCTGTTGGCCACCAGTTACCTCATATCATATACTTGAATCTGGAAGCTCCGGTTGAGTTTGTCATTTCTTATCTGCAGTCTCCTATATTCAGATATTCAAAGGATATAATCAAAGAATAATAAGATTACTAATCAATGTGTATTGCTAATCAACCATGTCAATCATTCTTATTTCCAACATGTATAATCAAAAGATATAATAATTGAACTAGGCAATGTGTATTACTAAATAAACAAGTGCATTTTTTCAACACATTACTTAATAAAATGAGCTAAACTAACAGTATGTACAAATTGTCAAGGTACAAGGTTAAAGGCATGGTTGTCAAGGTACAGTATGTAAACAGTATGTACAATGTACAACAGTATGTACAAATTAACACTAAACAAGTTAATGATGACTCCAAGGCATAGATAAAAGATAAGAAAGTCGCTAAATACAATGGCTTGTTGTCAAGGTTAAAGGCACAAAGATAGCAAAGAGTACATGTCCTCCCAATGCTAGGGCTAGAGCTACAGTTTTAATGCTAAGAAAGTTTTAGTATCTTACCATTACTAGTTGAGCTTTTTTGCAAATAAACTCATCATCTTTTTTACGCTTGTGCGTTGCTTGGAACAATGCTGCATGGGAGGGATCTTCTCCATGTTTTTCTTTCTATCCAAGAACAATAAACCAAATATTAATATTGTTGTTTAAGTATAAACTGTATTTAAATAGTAGTAAATGACTTACCAATCTTCTCATATGCTCGGTGATGGGGATTGAACCTGCAGTGTGTAGCGACGGTCCCAATCCCCAACAGTCAGAATTTCTATTTCTTTTATTCTTTTCGGCAGTCTTCTTGAACTCATCTTTATCCCAAATACTCTGATATTGGGCTAAAACCGTATCAAGCATCCATTTTGGTGGTGCATTACCCTTTGCCAAGTTGCTACGAACCTCATACAAGGTGTCAGATAGTCTCCTGGCAGCCTTGCTGTGAAATATTCTCTGAATAGCTTCCTCATCTTCCGGTTTCCACTTATATGATTTCTTTGATAAAAAAAAAATCAAACTGTAATTAGTAAATGAATATCAATTGCATGCATGCATATATTCTGTTAATACATATTTACTAATAGAAGTTATAAACTAATTTACCCTGAATTCATTAAACCAAACATCCTTCATATGTCTAGGAGCTGCACTGTATGACTTTATTGTATCAGGGAATATTTTAGTAACGCAGTCGATAATTTCTCTATGTGCCTTGCATGGCTCAAACCTGTAACAATTATAAATTATAAATGTTAGAGATAAAGGTCAACACATTAAAATTATCAATATAAAACTTACGAATTGTTCCCAACAGGGTGTATTATGGGCCTATTGCTTGGTGAAGATGGAGGTGAGGGACTATTATCTGGTGACGCTGATATAGTACGCTCTGAGTCACTATTTCGGCTGGACTGTGGGAAAGTAATTGATGGTGGGCTGGAGTTTGGGGCATTATTTCATGGACTTGGTAGTTGATTTCGTTCAGAATTAGATACTGCTGGTTGGGACATCAACGATTTACTCTTTTGACGTTGAGACATTTTTTGCATAAATGTAACCATTAAGAATGCCACAAGTAATCAAGTAGCAGCAAGCTAAGCCAAATAAAACGGAGAGGTAAGTAATACAAGAAGCATTCATGTTTATAACATATTTTACACTGTGTATGAAAACAAATGTATTGAGATGTTTCTAAAAATGCATCAGACTCTATTGTCATCATTTGCAAGAAACTAAATTGTTAGTTTCCTGAGTGTCATATATAAAGCAGCTGAAGTCCTCAATAACCATAGGGATGAGCTAGAAAACAATCAAAGGACCATAGGGATGAGCTAGAAAACAATCAAAGGCAGGTGAAGATACTTGGAACACTTGCTATGTAGCTATTAAACTAAGAAATATACACAGTTTTGCTAATGAAGTTAATCTGCATGGTAAAATATTGTTAGCCAAAGACTATTCTATGTTCTAAAATGAGCACAGTATTCAAATCATAATAGTAATGTGGTTGCATATTTGATATTTGATATATTCCTTAATTTCTATTGTCAAGTTGAATAATCAGTTTATGTTTTATTATTCAAAAAATTAGATTTATATGAGCATTGCATGTGAGGGAGACTCAATTACTGAGCTCATGATTATTGGAGACAAGCCAGTCAAGGTTAGTGAGTTCAATGGATTTGCAGTTCCAAACCAGACCTTATCTAACCATTTCTCCATAGATTCTTTTGTTGTTACATTAAATTGGATTAATGGCATTCAGAAAACAACATAAAACAACATAAAAATAGCATAAAATGATAATCATCATCAACATAAAATGATGCAAAGTGTGTTGCCTCTTCAAGCATATATGCATCAGCAATTGAACCTTCAACGTATCTTTTATTTTTCATTTTTGACTTTAAGTGATTGAGGAAGCGTTCAAATGGATACATCCAACGATATTTTACTAGGCCACCTAA